CGAATATTTAAGGACCCCAAGGGACCCACGTGTTCACATCACCTCACTCTACTCACCCTCCACTCACTCTCCCACCTCCCCCCTCTCATCTCACTCCACTCCCTACACTCACTCTCCCACCTCCCTCCTCTCATCTCACCCTACTCCCCCTCCACGCACTCACCTACCTCTCATCTCACTGTACTCCCGCTCCACGCACTCTCCTCTGCCTCTCATCTCACTCTACTCCCCTCCACGCACTCTCCCTGCCTCTCCCCTCTCATCTCACTCTACTCCCCTCCACGCACTCTCCTACCTCTCCCCTGTCATCTCACTCTACTCCCCTCCACGCACTCTCCTACCTCTCATCTCACTCTACTCCCCCTCCACGCACTCTCCTGCCTCTCCCCTCTCATCTCACTCTCTACTCCCGCTCCACGCACTCTCCTCTGCCTCTCCCCTCTCATCTCACTCTACTCCCCTCCACGCACTCTCCTACCTCTCCCCTCTCATCTCACTCTACTCCCGCTCCACGCACTCTCCTGCCTCTCCCCTCTCATCTCACTCTACTCCCCTCCACGCACTCTCCTACCTCTCCCCTGTCATCTCACTCTACTCCCGCTCCACGCACTCTCCTACCTCTCATCTCACTCTCTACTCCCACGCCACGCACTCTCCTACCTCTCCCCTGTCATCTCACTCTACTCCCGCTCCACGCACTCTCCTACCTCTCATCTCACTCTCTACTCCCACGCCACGCACTCTACTACCTCTCCCCTGTCATCTCACTCTACTCCCGCTCCACGCACTCTCCTCTGCCTCTCATCTCACTCATACCACCCCCTGCACGCGCTCTCGCGCCCAATGATTTCTGTTGAAGCCTCCGGTCAAACTTCCCTCGGTGCAGTAGCCCCGCCTGCACACTCGATAGCCACCCCACTGGGTGACGAAGGGTGGTGGTGGTGGTCGCGAGTGGTGATGATGGTTGTTTTGTCGTGCGGCACGCTGAAGGAAGTGGCATGCTGATGCTGCCGCGAGTGGTTGGTGCTCGTTATTTAAATGCTAATGAATTCCCCCGCTCCCTCGCCCCTCTCAACGCAATTCCTCGGTCACGGCTGGCCCAAGGGAGGTTGTTGGCGCGTGCGTGGGACGCGCGAGAGAGAGATTCGCGCTCTCCGTACGATTGTTTTCGCGAGCGTGGGTCGGCGTTCGCAGACGACCTCTATCCAGCCTCGCGTCTCTCTCGCGGGCGCGGAGAGACGCGCGGAACGGGAGAAATGCTCAATTGTGCACTCCGGTTTTTTTTTCGCCCGGTTATCCGCGACGACGACACTCATGATGATGAGTTTAACACGGAGTCTTTCGCGACCGATGTAATTCATAATAAGGGGGGAGGGAGGTGGGTGGGGGTTAAATTAGATCGCGTACATATTGACGTGTCAAACCTTACTAAATGGTTGTGTCGGGTGGTGGTGGGTTTACGAGACATTTATATTTATGCAATCTAACCTAAAACCATAACAACAGCAAAAAAAAATATTATGAAAAAGAAGAAGAATAATGATGATGATGATTGGCAAAGATGCGGTGCATTTCATATCCGGTTCATTCTCATCGCGCCAAGGCGATCAACCGAAGCGGCTGTGTGGATTACGGACACGACGCGGTGGTTTACACAGAGAGGGGGTAGGGGGCCTGGGGGGGGGGGGTCTTTAACGTCCGCTGGCAAGCAGACGAAGCGCATCGCTGTTACCGTGCGGTGACAAACGAGGGTGGCCTGAGCCGGAATCGAACCGCGAGCCCTCCGCATTGACCCCGAGAGGCAAGCAGTGCTACAAAGAGAGTCATCGATCCTCCAGCACGGAATATAAGTTAGACGGTAAGCACCGTGCTTAGTTAGAATTTGGAGTAACCACCTTTATTTTTTTGCACTGTACACAAAGAAAAAAATCTACCGATCATTTCTATATTTTTTTTTCTCAGCCAGCCCAGGTCTATTATATAACACAATAACAACGTGTGTTTATACACCGTTAAAAAGTTCAACACGGCAAGGGGGTGGGAGGGGAGGGGGAGAAGGAAGAGGGGGTAATGGGGGGGGGGGTTGATAAATACCAACGCTATCATAAATCACGGTGCCTAGACAACAACCCAAACATTACTAGATGACGGCGAACAATTTGCAAAAGGACCACAAATTGCCACGTTCAGCGTGACGTTGTTCTGCCAAATAAAGGGCTCTTAAACCCAACAAAAGCAAACCCTCGTGGATTATAAATACCCAAGACGGGAAACGCTATCGGCACAACAACAACAGCAGCAGCAGCGGCAGCGGCGGCTGCAGCTGACAACGTGACGACATCCAATCAGACGGAACGAATCGGCGAATCTGAACCACGCCGCAATGGGCACGCACGTCGCAAGCAGCAGTAAAAAATAAAAAAATGTAACCCGTAAAAACAAAGTTTTTCACTATAAATCCTTTATATGCGTGGCGGCTAGAGTCCTCTCGTCTTCTGGCTTGAGATGGCTGCCACCTATGGGTCAGATGATTGCCTGCCACCATTAAGCAATTGATAATTAAATATAAAAAAAAATATCCTAAAAAGTGTAACATTTTGGAAAAAACATTTCACGAAAGTAAATGGTCACGCACAACGAGTCTGTGTGCAAAATGTCAGCTCGATTGAATCACGGGAAGTGGGTTAAAAGACGACCGAAAGATTTGCACGGTCCTAAGCAAGCAAGCGAACTTAATATAAAGGATTTAAAAAATTAACCCGTAAAAACAAAGTTTTTCACTATAAATCCTTTATATGCGTGGCGGCTAGAGTCCTCTCGTCCTCTGGCTTGAGATGGCTGCCACCTATGGGTCAGATGATTGCCTGCCACCATTAAGCAATCGGTAATTAAATAAAACAAATCCTAAAAAGTGTAAAATTTTGGGAAAATTTTTTGATGAAAATTAATTGTCACGCACAACGAGTCTGTGTGGAAAATGTCAGCTCGATTGGATCACGGGAAGTGGGTTAAAAAACGACCGCAAGATTTACACGGTCGTAAGCAAGCAAGCAAGCGAACTGAATATAAAGGATTTAAAAAAAGAAAAACTCGCGGCACCTTAAGAATCTCGACAGAGCGGGGCGAATGTCACCGCCTGGCGATCCAATTGGTTGACGTCGCACTCGAGGAGTGGCAAGCGACACGCAAAAAGCTGTAAGCGTCAACATTTTGCGGTGGTAAAAACTTCATTTGGAGCTTTCGTGACTGCAGGAAATACTCTTTGGTTCTTTCGGTAAAGTCACGTATAAAGAGAAAATAATTTATTAAATACTAGCATACGACGTTTCGATTGCAACACAAGCAATCATCATCAGGTATAAATGAAATAGAAACACAAATCTAGTATACTTAGAAATGTAATGTAATACAACAGAGAGTCGGATAACATAACAGTCAACACCCAACACCTGATGATGATTGCTTGTGTTGCAATCGAAACGTCGTATGCTAGTATTTAATTTATTATTTTATCTTTATACGTGACTTTACCGAAAGAACCAAAGAGTAATTTTGCGGTGGTGTTCGTGGTGTAAATTATGCATACATGGTATTTAGCAAACAAAATTGACTTTACCCTCCCCGGCAATAAAACATATGTTAAGATATAAACTAATAGAACTAAACTATTTTTATTTTTTACACCATTGGAACCTCATTTTCCAGTAAAAAAATATGATAATTGGTTTTTTTACCCTTCTATCTGGCAACAAAACTGACTAGGCTCTAAGGAAAGCTGTCTCGGGTGTGGACCAATCAACTTCAAGGACAGTGCACATTATCAGAGTTATGTTTATTGTTTGCATTATGACTGCAGGTATTGTGGTCTATGTAAACATGACTCCTTGTAAAAAGGTGTCAGTTTTGTTGCCAGATAGAAGGGTAAAAAAACAATTATCATATTTTTATTTTACCAGGTAAGGCCCACTGAACTATACAGCTCGTTTTTCAGAAAAATCCACGCGACCACGGGGAAAGAGACACGAAAACTCCAGACCTACAGCAGGCGCCAGGATCGAACCCACGATCTCGTGTATACCGAGCGAGGTGGTTACCATCTCGCCATCGTGGATTCTACACTGGCATACAGGATCCTGCAGATAAAGCTGCAGAGTATTTACTGAACTGCTCCGATGGCCATCGGCGCTTGACGGATGACCGCGGCGCTGACTCGAAGCCTGCCCAGGGTTTGTTGTTGCTGCTGCTCGCTTTGCCCGCCGCGCCAACCAATCACGCTCTCCCGTCACGGGGCCACTGCAGATATTGAGATGGACAGCCAGGTGACCTTTATATATTACTCGTGTAGGAGCCCTTTCGAGACCGCGGGTGACCCCTTCTCAAGGGAGACTTCGGGTTTAAATAAGCTGAGTGGAAGAAAAAAAAGGAGGAACACATCCCTGCATTCTTCGTCTTGTTCTTCTTCTTGCAGAGCAGCACCTGTACCTGTTTTTTGGTTCCTACGCAACCACGTGGTTCCTATTCTGCCACGTGGTTCCTATGCAACCACGTGCTCCAATGCTGGCACGTGGTTCCTATGCCTCCACGTGTTTCAATGTTGGCCAATGGTTCCTAAGACAGGATGTGGTTCCCACGCATCCACGTGGTTCCTATTCTGCCACGTGGTTCCTATACAACCACGTGCTCCAATGCTGGCACGTGGTTCCTAACACACGACGTGGTTCCCACGCAGCCACGCGGTCCCACACCAGCACGCGGTTCCAATGCTGGCAGGTGGTTCCAACACCGGCACGTGGTATCCACAGCGGCCACGTGGTTCCTATATTGCCACGTGGTTCCTATTCTGGCACGTGGTTCCTACGCGGCCACGTGGTCCCTACACTACCACGTGGTTCCTATTCTGGCACGTGGTTCATCAGTCGGACTGACAGCGATTCCCGTGTGGTCGTTGCGTGTGCCCACACCCCCTCCCCCCGCCCCCCCCCCCCCTTGTGCGTCTGCAGCTACGACATCATGAACCTGCAGGAGACCAGCCAGGACAGCTACAGCTACGAGAAGGTGGGCAGCTGGGAGAACGGGGAGCTGCGCATGGAGGACCGCATCATGTGGCCCAACCGCAGCGTGGGCGTCAAGTCGGTGTGCAGCGAGGCGTGCGGCCGCGGGCAGATCCGGGTGGGTGGCGCACGGAACACTGCCCCATAGACTCAACACTGCCCATAGACTCAACACTGCCCATAGACCCAGCACTGTCCCATAGACTCAGCACTGCCTCAACAGTGCCCCATAGACTCAACAGTGCCCCATAGACTCAACACTGCCCATAGACTCAACACTGCCCATAGACTCAACACTGCCCATAGACTCAACACTGCCCATAGAACATAATAAAACAATTCTCACGACGTTTCGGCTACAACGCAAGCAGCCGTCTTCAGGTGAAGAATGAGACACTACCAAACTAGGAGCTTATATATAAGCTGCATTGGGGGTTGAAGAGCGCCTTAACAAAAAGAATGTGCATGTGAAGAGGGATTTAGCATATTCATGGAAAATGCGTAGGCGTTGGGCGGGGGGGTGTCAAAGTCATATTATGCCCATGCATTATGCAGGATCAGCAGCAACCAAGGGGGGTGCAGGGATTAGCAGTAACAAAGGAAAGGAATGTTAATGATATGTAGCTGCAGTTACTCAACAACACGTAGAAAACTAAAGTATAAACTACATAAAAAACTAAAGTATAAACTGCATCGCACCATCAGTATACTTACTATACTCTATAATAAGCTGAGTTACTAACAGCAAGTAATACATTACAATTTTACCTCGTAAAAATTCTATAATATGCTTCCATCTAAACCTTATTCTCTTACATCACACGAGCATATACCGTACTATATACTGCCATAGATAAACCCAACATTAAATTATATACTGTATTGCTGTAAACCAACCTATATCTTATACATTTAATATCACACTATGTATTATTCTACACACCCTAATGTGTATCGAAATGGTTTATTACGTCCTTCCAATGATTGCTGAGCCAGAATCCATCTTCTCGGTTAAAGTTGTCTCTGTGTTTGTATATGTGGATCGCCTCATGAACGAATCTCTCATGATAGCCAGATGGCTTGCAGAGAACCTCTGTCTTGGAGAAGTCAATATCATGTGAGCCCACTGAGTTGTAACAGTGATCTGCCACGGCTGAGGTGTTAGTCCTACCGTGTTTCAGGTCAGCGTTATGTTCACGGATGCGGTCCGAGACATGTCGTTTGGTTTCCCCAATGTAACTGCTACCACAGAGGCAACTTAGTTTGTAGACGCCAGGGTACTGTATGTCTGGAACCACATCTTTTACAGACGGTACCAGATCACGGATTTTATGTACTGTGTTGAATCGGACCTGGATCTTGTGTTTAATCAGGATTTTGGAGATCTTTTTTGTGACCCCAGCAATGTAGGGTAAGGTGATGGTCTTGAAAGGCTCCTCAACAGGATCCTTCTTGATGGTTGGAGTGATGGCTTTGCGGATTGTATAGTCGGAGTAACCATTTGCCTTAAGAGCTTGGCGTACGTGTTTGAGTTCACTGGAAATGTGTTCATGGTCGGAGATGCATTGGGCTCTATGATATAGAGTCTTGATGAGGGAATTCTTCTGAGATGGATGGTGGTGGGAATCCGGTTTTAGATAAGCATCCGTGTGGGTGGCTTTCCTGTAGACAGAGTGGCTCATTGAACCATCAGGTCTCCTTTTGATTAGGACATCCAAAAAGGGTAGCTTGCCATCATTTTCGACTTCCATGGTGAATCTGATGGCTGGGTGTATGGAATTGATGTGGTCGAGAAATTGGTCTAGAGCAGGCCGGCCATGTGGCCAGATGACAAAAGTGTCGTCTACGTACCTCTTCCATAAGGTCGGGCGTAGAGTGGCAGTCTGGATGGCGTCCGTCTCAAATTTCTCCATGAAGATGTTGGCTACAACCGGAGATAGGGGGGAGCCCATTGGGGTGCCCTCAATTTGCTTGTAGAAGGTTCCATTCCAGGTGAAGTATGTATTGGTTAAGCAGTGTCTCACCAGGGGGGGTACCCCAGCATTCAGTCCTTGATGAACCAAGTCTTCAATGATTGCGATGGTGTCAGGCACAGGTACCTTGGTGAACAAGGAAACCACATCAAAACTGACAAGCAGGTCGTCTGGGGACAGGGCAATCCCCTTGATTGTCGATACCAGGTCAGTAGAGTTTAGTACTGCAGAGGTGGTTTTTCCAGTGAAAGGCCGTAGGATTTCGGACAAAAAACGAGCCAGTTTGTAAGTGGGGGAGTTGATAGTAGAGACAATGGGACGAAGAGGTGTATCTTCTTTATGTATCTTTGGCAAGCCGTACAATCTTGGTGGTCTGGCTGCAGAAGGTTTCAACGAGAACTGTTTGGTCTGATCAATTAATGCGGTTGAAGCAGAAATGATGTTGTTGGTTTTGGAGACGAGGCTGTTGGTGGGGTCTCTTTTTATTTTTGTATAGCTGCCATCGTTTAGTAGTTCTTGAATTTTGTTGTTGTATTCTATTTTGTCCATGATGACAGTGGCATTGCCTTTGTCGGCTGAGAGGATGACAATGTCATCCCTCTTTTTTTTTAATTGAGCTAATTCAAAACGCTCCTCTTTGCTGATGTTGCTAGCTGGCATCTTAGCGTTTTTGAGGGTTACAGAGATTTCGGATCTTGCTACGTCTGCAGCGATGTGACTCAAGCCCTTGAGAGCTACATCTACTCGAGCAATTATATCATTAACTGGTATGTGTCTAGGTGTGACTGCAAAGTTTAGTCCTTTAGCTAAAACGGATTTCAAACCTTCAGAAATAGGACTGTTACTGCGATTAATTACGACTTTGTTAATATCTAGCTTTTCAATGTGTGGGTCCGGTTTCTTGTTTGAGAGGCGATTGAATTTGGAAATCAAGTTGTCCTTACATTTAGTCGACATAGCGGCAGCTGAAGAGGCAGTCATTTTTTCCACATGTTCCCAATCCGATGTGGACATTGTTACACTCAAAGATAAGTGTGATTTGTAGAGTGTCTTGTCTAACTGATCTAGTTCGGTGCGCGTAAGTCTGATTTTCTCTGAGATAAGAGCTAAGCTAGTTCTAGACAGAATTCGTTTCGCATTAGAAGAAGTTACAGCAGCAGATGTTAGTGTAAATGCGTTTGGTATTACCTTAGAGTCGCGGCATCTCTTCAGAAAGGTGAGAGACTCGATTAGCTGAGCCTTCTTATCCCGGAGCTTGTTGAAGGATCTCAAAGTTATGTGGAAACCCTCCCCGTAGAGGCGGTTAAATTTCGATTTAAAGCTTTCGTGACTGCAGGGATTCATCTTCTTGTTTCTTTCGGTAAAGTCACGTAGAAGGGAAGTAATAAAATAATAAAAATAAAACATAATAAAACAATTCTCACGACGTTTCGGCTACAACGCAAGCAGCCGTCTTCAGGTGAAGAATGAGACACTACCAAACTAGGAGCTTATATATAAGCTGCATTGGGGGTTGAAGAGCGCCTTAACAAAAAGAATGTGCATGTGAAGAGGGATTTAGCATATTCATGGAAAATGCGTAGGCGTTGGGCGGGGGGGTGTCAAAGTCATATTATGCCCATGCATTATGCAGGATCAGCAGCAACCAAGGGGGGTGCAGGGATTAGCAGTAACAAAGGAAAGGAATGTTAATGATATGTAGCTGCAGTTACTCAACAACACGTAGAAAACTAAAGTATAAACTACATAAAAAACTAAAGTATAAACTGCATCGCACCATCAGTATACTTACTATACTCTATAATAAGCTGAGTTACTAACAGCAAGTAATACATTACAATTTTACCTCGTAAAAATTCTATAATATGCTTCCATCTAAACCTTATTCTCTTACATCACACGAGCATATACCGTACTATATACTGCCATAGATAAACCCAACATTAAATTATATACTGTATTGCTGTAAACCAACCTATATCTTATACATTTAATATCACACTATGTATTATTCTACACACCCTAATGTGTATCGAAATGGTTTATTACGTCCTTCCAATGATTGCTGAGCCAGAATCCATCTTCTCGGTTAAAGTTGTCTCTGTGTTTGTATATGTGGATCGCCTCATGAACGAATCTCTCATGATAGCCAGATGGCTTGCAGAGAACCTCTGTCTTGGAGAAGTCAATATCATGTGAGCCCACTGAGTTGTAACAGTGATCTGCCACGGCTGAGGTGTTAGTCCTACCGTGTTTCAGGTCAGCTTTATGTTCACGGATGCGGTCCGAGACATGTCGTTTGGTTTCCCCAATGTAACTGCTACCACAGAGGCAACTTAGTTTGTAGACGCCAGGGTACTGTATGTCTGGAACCACATCTTTTACAGACGGTACCAGATCACGGATTTTATGTACTGTGTTGAATCGGACCTGGATCTTGTGTTTAATCAGGATTTTGGAGATCTTTTTTGTGACCCCAGCAATGTAGGGTAAGGTGATGGTCTTGAAAGGCTCCTCAACAGGATCCTTCTTGATGGTTGGAGTGATGGCTTTGCGGATTGTATAGTCGGAGTAACCATTTGCCTTAAGAGCTTGGCGTACGTGTTTGAGTTCACTGGAAATGTGTTCATGGTCGGAGATGCATTGGGCTCTATGATATAGAGTCTTGATGAGGGAATTCTTCTGAGATGGATGGTGGTGGGAATCCGGTTTTAGATAAGCATCCGTGTGGGTGGCTTTCCTGTAGACAGAGTGGCTCATTGAACCATCAGGTCTCCTTTTGATTAGGACATCCAAAAAGGGTAGCTTGCCATCATTTTCGACTTCCATGGTGAATCTGATGGCTGGGTGTATGGAATTGATGTGGTCGAGAAATTGGTCTAGAGCAGGCCGGCCATGTGGCCAGATGACAAAAGTGTCGTCTACGTACCTCTTCCATAAGGTCGGGCGTAGAGTGGCAGTCTGGATGGCGTCCGTCTCAAATTTCTCCATGAAGATGTTGGCTACAACCGGAGATAGGGGGGAGCCCATTGGGGTGCCCTCAATTTGCTTGTAGAAGGTTCCATTCCAGGTGAAGTATGTATTGGTTAAGCAGTGTCTCACCAGGGGGGGTACCCCAGCATTCAGTCCTTGATGAACCAAGTCT